TCACGCTGAGAGCTGAAATTGGGGTGGTGGAGACAGCGATTCCACTGCTGGTGCCCACTTCTGAACTGAGCGGAGGTGGTACAGGTGCAGGGACATTAGGTGCAGATATTGCTCCCACCTCCTGGTTTCTGCTGGCAGCACTGATGCCATGGTTGCTTGTGAAAAGAATGCATCTGTGTTTGGGATGGGGTGGCTTGCAGCTCTAGCTCTCCCCCTACTCCCTCTCTCCCTTGCCAGAAGACCTGGCATCTGCCTTTCCAGCACACTTCATATTGATCTTTCCTGTGCTGCAAAAGGTCTCTGTGTGTGTGTGTGAATCCTTTTGTATTGTGCCTTTTATTCCCTCTGTTGCATTGATTGTTTGCTTTAGTGTTAAGGGTTATGTAAAAATTGTGTGCTGCCTGTCTGTCTGTCTTCTGCTGTGAATATCTGATTTTTCTCTATATTGTCTGTGTATCTGTGTGTCTGTGTGTGTGCATGCAAGCAATCTGTGCCTACCTGCACAGTGATAGATCACACTGGCAGGGAAAACACACCTTTCTTTTTTCAAAGTTTAAAAAAAAAAAGAAGCAAATATCGTAATAGTAATACTAATAATAATAGAATAGAATAGAATATCTAAGCTAAGCTAAGGTAGATCCTACCCACTCCTTTGTAACAAGGAAAAGGAGCAGGCAAGTTCAACTAGTACTGAGCCAGCAAGCCACAATGCCTCAGTCTGAGCATTCCTCCGTCACACAGTTGCTGACAAGGAACAAGGTGGGAAAAGACACAGCATGCCTCCAAACAGAGGCTTTTATGCTGTTTCTAGTCCCACCTCACAGACACTGTCATTGGAAAGGCAGCCAGGGAGAAATCCTTCTCACTGGCCACCTACAGGTGTTAGTCTCCCCTCCACACACACACTCTCCCTCCCCCCTCTGCTCCCCCTCCCTCTTCTAACTGTAAGTCAAGCTGTCTGAAGCATCTGAAGCGCATCCAAAGTGCTTTGGATGCTCCGAACTGCTTTGGACAGCTTGCCTGAGCCCGCGCTTCTATCTGGACATGCTGCTGTCCGAAGTGGCACCAGATCTGAAGCACGATCCAAAGACTTGCACAGCCCTAATAAGGTGTTTGGGATGGTTGGATGCAGATATCTCCTCTCAGTACTGGCTGTTATGTCTGAGTGTTTCTGTATTCTGTTTGCTCATTCTGCAAGCCTGGCATTGATCTATTCCTGATTGTTGTATAGAACACTGATAAGGTGGTTCCTCAGTTTCCAAGAGGGAGTGAAGCACAGCTTGTTAGAATAGGCTACTTATTACATAGAACGGAGTGGACTGGTCACCTGGAGTCTCTTGGTTATGATTATTCATTCGGTTGCATCCGGTCAGAAAGAAGCTACCCAAGCAAGTTTCTTGGGTAGATTGATTGTAGCCATTTGGCTAAGTGTGGTGCTATCCGCATGTGTTAGTCTGAAGTCAGGCAGAAGACAGGGTAGAAATGCCTTCTGCCTGACTTCAGACTAACACACCTAATTATCCATTTCTAGAGAAGATGGTGTCATGGTATTAAGGGAGCCCAGTTTAGTTGAGAAAGGATGGCATGATGTAGGATAAAGAAGGACCTTAGCAGAAGGGGGTCCTAACCTAAAGCCACATGTTGCCTTCAGGAATCATAGAAAATTAGGGTTGGAAGGGGCCTCAGGAAGTCATCTAGTACAACCCCCTGCTCAAAACAGGATCAGCCCTAACTATATCATCCCAGACGGCTTTGTCTACCCAGGTCTTAAACTCTAAAGATGGAGATTTCACAACCTCTCAAGGTAGTCTGGTCCAGTACTTTACTACCCTCCTTGTGAGAGAGTTTTTGTTTCTAATATCTAACCTAAACTTCCCTTGCTGCAACTTGACAGCATTGCTCCTTGTTCCATCATTTGCCACCACTGAGAACAGTCTAGCTCCATCCTCTTTGGAACCACCCTTCAGGTAATTGAAGGCTGTTATTAAATCCCTCCTCCCCACCAGTCTTCTTTTCTCCAGACTAAATGAGTTCTTCTCATAAGTCATATTCCCCAGCCCTCCAACCATTTCTCCAGCCATTTTCATTGCCCCCTGTTGGACTCTCCAATTTGTCCACATCCTTTATGTTGTAGGAGGGGGGTGGGGGTCCATAACTAGACACAGTACTATAGATGTGGCTTCACCAGTGCTGAATAGAGTGAAATAATCACTTCCCTTGATCTACTGGCAATGCTTCTACTAATGCAGCTCAGTATGCTCGTAGCCTTCTTCGCAACAAGAGTACACTGTTGACTTAAATTCAGCTTATTGTCCATTGTAACAGCTAGGTCCTTTTCTGCAGAGCTGCTGCTTAGTCAGTGAGTCCCCAGTCTTTTATTCTTTTTTTTTTTTTTTTTTTGTTGAAAAAGGACAGCTAACTCTGGGGATGGATGAACTGAGAATTGTCACAGTTAAAGTATCAGTCTCTAGTGATTGAGTTAAAGCAGGTTTTGTAGGTAAGAGGTGTAACATACCTGTGGATTAGGCATAGGAGATCATGTAATGCACAACAGCCCATGAGTTATATAAATACTCATTTTATCACCATTGTTTGGAATTGAGCTGAAATAAACATGTGGCTGCTATATAAATTAAAATATACTGTATTGCGCCAGAACATCTCTGGGAAGGGAAAACCACCATGAACATAGCCAGTAATGCCAATGCATTTGTGAAGTGGTTTGGGTGGGCAAGCTAGTGGTGACCTGATAGGAGACAGAACCCCAAACTACTGCATGTCTTCTTTTCAGAAATGCTGAGTGCCTTTAACATTGCATCTGCAATGGCTTATACTAATATTGTCTTGTGTTTGGTAATTTAAGATTCTTCAATCCAATGACACTATACTTTTTGCAGATATTGCAGTTTTCCAGAAATATTCCAATTCCAGGGGAATTTGCTTCACTGATGTTCATTGCAGCCCTCTTTAATTTATTTTTGGTGACTGCTGTAGCAAAATAATTTACCGGCAGGTCTTTTGGTGAAAATAGTTGCTGAGCCAGCAATCATGCAGAACCTTATCTTAAAATCCTTGCCTATACCTGTGCTTACAATTAAGCATGGGCTGAAGTGCGATGTGAGATTGTGGCCAAAAGAAACTTTATACGAATACTGGAAAATATTCATGGAAAGTAAAGGCTAATCATCAATACATGCACCAGAAATAAGATTCCAACCATTACATTTATCCAGTCAGGGAAAAACACCCTCCATGTGATCTTTGTATTCAATTACAGCTCACCAAGAGAACCAGTTAAAGCAGGTTTTGATTTGAATGAGTTATGACCCCCTGAAAACTGCATTGTTCATAAGCCCAGTAAATTGGCATAATGAGATCACTGTGCTTATAGTGTGCGCAGCTCAAAAAGGCCTCATTACACAGGCATGCCTGGCTGGCTGAATTGTACACTGGTAAATGTAACAAAGGTACACAGTCTAATGCTGTGTGTGTGTTGCAGTTCTGGTGTGACAGGAGTACAGCAGGCACAGCTGGAGAGAAACTCATTAGAAGCCTCAGGTGAAAGAGGGGGAGGGAGCCTACAGGACTTGAAGTTTAGTTTTAGTTTTCCTGGTGCAACCAAAACAAAAGTAGACTGACAAAGTCTGTGGCTATGCTCCCCTTCATTTCATTTATCCCCTTCAGCACTCTTTACAAACCAAAACTAAACAATACCAGCAGGACAGTTTTTGTCTCCAGGGCTCCTGCTATCTCTTAAAGTAAACATCCCTGTTGAGGGAAGTAGCCATGTGGAGAGGCTCTGAGCCACCCTGCTGGCACATGGGAGTCTGGAAGAAACACTCTGCAAAGTAAAACATGTTCTTTAAAAAGGCACAACATGCACGCTACCGAAACTGTGGGTACTTGCTGGCAAGCATATCACACATGATCTCACTGCATCCCTTAGCATGGAAGTCAGAGTTCCCCCAATGCAAAATGCCACCAAGTAAGAGACCAAAGGATTTTTGTGGGTGACACCTTTTAGTGGACCAACTGTATAGTTGGGAGGGACATAGACAGGCTTCTGGGTACCAGAGAGGAAAGGTAAAGGGGTGCCTGAAAATGATTTATGTCCCTCCCAACTATGTAGTTGGTCCAATAAAAGGTAACACCCATAAAAATCCTTGCCCCTCATATTTTTCCTGGACCATCACAGCTATATCACTGCAGAGCTACCACCAAATAAGAGAACAGATTCTCTTATCAAAGTTGCAATCCTGTCACAGCACTCCATGATCCCATTTCCCAGACCATCTATGCAAGATAGGATTCCTGCTCTCATAACTGTATCCGTCTTGTATTCACTTATTCATAGTACCTCTGCTGTGACCATGTATACACACTGGGTCTGTGAATAGGCAAACTGGATAGGATTCAACTCAGTGTTTGGTTCAGTGGAGGTTTAGCTATTGACTTTAGCAGAACCAGGAGCTCATTGTTGGTGTTTCCTTGCAGACAGAGAAACAATTTAGTAAATAGGATATTGTAACATAATTTCTGATTTTATCATTTCTTAGGCCATGTCCATGGTTGCCCCGGCTGTGCCTGGCACCAGTACTGAGAAGCACAGTCCACTCACTACTTACCCCGCTTGCCCTGCTCAGTATATACCAAAGCCCAAAAACAAGGTACTAAAACCAGCTTGGACCTCCCATGAACCCATGCTTCTCCACTACTTTTGGTCTCTCTCTCTCAGGACTGTGTCCTAGCTTTTCTTTTGGGCTGTGCTCAGCTGACAAAATCAATTCCTTTCTGGGATTTTGTGCTTGTTGAACAGGACTGAATAAATGTGGCACCCTTCTTAACTACAGTTCCAGCACTGTGCAGAGGTGGTATCTGTGTTAATCTCAGTTGCTGTATGCATCTTACTCATGGGTTTCATTCTTGAATTTCAGGCTCATACCATTAGATAAAGGCCTTGATTAATGTTTTAAAAAATACATATCTATATACACACACAGGAGAAGAATTTGGACTGGTTCCCTCGGATGAGAGCCATGTCCCTCGTTAGCAATGAGGGTGACAATGAGCAAAACGAGATTAGAAACCTGCAAGAAAAGTTGGAGTCCACCATGAGCCTTGTGAAACAGTTGTCTGGCCAGCTGGCTGAGCTCAAGGAACAGGTAAGTAATTCTGAGCAGGTAAAGAAAAAATAATTGTGTGCATATGAGTTTCTGTCAGGTAATGGCCACAACACTTAAAAAAGGACCTGTCTGAATAAGGTTTTACTCAACAAAGCTTTTAGAGCCAATGCACAGGTACCATTCTGGAAAGAGATTTAATTCTATTCATCACACTAAAGAGCAGGTAAGCAAAAACATTCAGTTTTGTAACCCTACTAGCGGGGATGGGGGAGGAGAGTTCAATTGCTAGGCAAAGGCCCCCTCTACACAATAAAAAGCTCCAACCAGCTATAAAGTTAGACTTTGAACATGTGTACTAACTTCATAGCTGGTTGCTATCCAGCTTTAATTTGCACGTGTAGCAGGGTCTCTCCTGTTAGCTGATAGGCCTCCCAGCTGCAGGGGTGCACCATGCCCAGTGTGAAATCCCCAAGCCCTAGGGATCACAGCAGCCACAACCCCAGTGTCTGGGGATTTCACAGACTCCCAAGCCCTAGGGATTTCAGCAGCCCCTATCCCCAGGGTCCATGGCACCCTCTGCACCGGCAATATGGTGCAGTGGGATCTAATGTGCAATTATGTGAATCACACATTAAATCCCATCATGCCTTTACCTGTACGTGTAGAGGGGGCCAATGTGAATGAAAAAATGGTGGGTTCATCCTGCTATAGGGAATAGCTGTAGATAAGGTGAAATCCATCCAGAATGCTCCTGGTCAAAGAATGTTTTCCTAGCCCATGTCTTTGCCCATATTCCTCTCTCTGTGTTACCCCCACCCCACCCCACCCCACCCTGGGTCCCCTTTTCTATATTGCATGAAACCTGAGTTTCTTCTCTTCCCTGCCGTGCCCTTTCAGAGGCTATCCTCACCCTCCTTTTCATCTCATTCAGTAATAGGAAGTGAATGTTTGCTTCCTGGAGGCCCATGATGCCAGCTTCCTTACTTGCTCCTTAGTTTTGTGGCCAAACAGCTTTATCTTTTCTCCCTCATGCTTGGGAGTATCTCCCCATAAACATCTCCCTTCTAACCTTCCTTCACATCCCTGTTTAAAACTCCTGTGACATGATACCTACAAAAAGACTTGACAAAGGCTGGGTGCTGTGGTACTGAGACCACTGACTTTTATATGGATGAGTACTGTCCCATTTTTTTCCTGCACCTTCCCTTTCCCTCCCCCATGCTCCTTGCTTCTCTCCCCAGCCCTCCCCCAGAATTCACCTATTCCCTTTTGTTTTTTACTTACCTTTTCAGGTCTCGGGGAAGATGCTGTCTCCATTCTGTGTTTGTACAGCATTTGACACAGAGAGGTCTTTATTGGTGACAGGGACTCCTTAGTGCTATTGTAGGACAAATAAGAAATAATAACATAGCCTAAAATTTGCCACCAAAAATGAAGATGAAATGTTCAGACTCAGTATGAGTCAAATCCCATTCTTCAAAGGAATCCCTTTCTTGTAATTTTTAATGATGAAAAAATCCACTCTCTGTTATTTTGCTTATGTGTACCTTGCAACTATGCTCTTCTAATGCTGTTGCACTGTGATTGTATGTGCTGCTGCTAAATAATAGTAAAAAAAACTCATCTCTTATCTCCCTTTCCACCTTAGATGACAGAACAAAGGAAAAATAAGCAGAGGCTGGGCTTTCTTGGATCAAACACACCCCATGTGAATCATCACATGCCACCACACTGATACCATGGGGAGAAACTGTGACTAGCCTTTCATCAGTATTCTTGCTTTATTACAGAATAAAAAGCTGAGATTGAGAGGAGTGAACAGTGCCTATTGTTACAAAGTTGAAAACAGCTGAGTGCCAAGATGTTAAGTGGTTTAGCTCTGGGAACAATTTGTAACTGTTTTTCATGGTTGAAAGGGACCAGAACCTAGAATGCAAGAGATACAAGAGAGTTTGTCTGTATTCATTCTTCAGGCCAAACTCTGCAGGGTTTACACTCTTTGCACTTCAATTGGCTCGAATGGTGACTGTATGCAATGCAAGTCAGGGCAGTATTTGGTTGTGTTCTTAGTAATGTTTTAAGATTTCTGCTCAAAGTAATGGAATACTGAGGCAAGGAGGAAATAGCTTATTAGCACACATGCGACAGTCTTCTTCAGAATCAATAGAAGTTATTTCTTGTCTTACTTGCCAAACAGCAACATTAGTTATATTTGATTGGCATTTACTATTTTTAAATTACCATAAATATGTCAGTGGGAAAAGTAATAACATTGCAGCAAGTTAACTTCTATTAGAGTGGGGGGAAAAACCCTGAAAAGACTTTTAAAAAAAAGAATTTGCAAAGAGAAACTTTAATGCTTTTGAATTTTAGCTGTCACCATGCAATTTCTTATTTATAACATGGAGTACAATGGATCCACAGCTGTGGGAACTTTATGCACAGAACATTGGCAACATAACTGGAAATGATTTCTTTCTCCTGGATTCAGATGTTCTCTATTAATATGGCTGCAAGTGGAGAATTCACATACTGCAGTGTGTAATAATGTTTTAAATTCAAGCTCCAAAGAAGGATTTAGAAAAATGTATATATGTTAAAAGGTGTATTGGAGATTTTCTTTTCTGGAAAATCGTAGACAGGATTGACTAGCGGGAATTGTCATTGGTATTATTACCTTCTGTAAGCAGCCAGTAGGTAGTATTTGACTTAAGTAAATCAGCACCACATCTCACTATCTCCACTCAGTCCTACTTTCAATAGGAATTTTTCTTGAGGTAAGAATTAAAGGCTCACATGTGCATGTTACGGCCATTGACCTTGGTGGGAAACAGGATCTGGCCCTTAGTTAAAGACATCTGGGGTATCTATCAGACTCATAAGTGTGCATTTGTCAGCTATATTGTTGCAATGATTTTTAAGAGAAAAGTTACAAAGTTTGTTAAAAGCCAAAAAACGTTTAGGGGAAAGGTTTACAAGGCACAAAGGCAAGTTAAATTCCTGACTCCTATGGATTTTCATTAGGAGTTGGCTACCTAACTGCTTTCTCCTTTAATTTTTAAGAAGAACCTCTTAGGTTTGGGTATTAGTCAAGGATTTGAAGAAATATTCATCAGAACTGTTTGAGATTTTTTTTTTCACTACAGAAAATTTTGGTGAAAACAAACAAAAAATGATAGTGTCGGAGTGATGTTGTAGCCATGGTGGTACAGGAAATGTGAAAGGCAAAAATGTTGTTTTTAATTGAAATATTTTGTCAAAAGATTATTTTTTGTTACTGAGCACAGCTGAACACAAACATTCTCAATTCTGAAATAACACAAACAAAATGTCAGCTTTACCCCGGAAAATTCCCATTTTGACATTATTTGTCACAGGTTTCATTTTCATGAAGACCTTTTTGACTAACTCCAGTGTTTATGACATTTGCTTCAAAATAAATTGGCAATATGATTTTTGTATTATAAAAAACAGATCAGGAAATAGCTAGCAGATCTGAGACAAAGAGAAGGGATATTTTTTTCTGAATGAAAACCAGATCTCTTTATGGCTATCCGTGGAAGCCATATCTTATAGCGTAATGAGGTTGGTGGAAGAAAGGGAGATTTGAGAGCTGATTCTGTTTTCATTAGGTTTCTCCTTGGCTTTAATAGATGGGGCACTTCAAGAAATTCAGTCTGAGTTGGAGCCAGAGCCTTGTGTATGTTAGAAAGGAAAGCTTGATATCTGGTGTGAGTTTACTTTGACAGGCTATAGATTCTTATATGGTTTTGATCCTGAGAGTTGCCAAACATATAGAGGATCACATTGTGCCTTTTCCCCTTTACAAAATGTCATCCCAATTCAGGCTCAGCCTACATGCTCCCTTTCACATGCACCACGTGGGTAAGAAAGTGTTGCTTAAAAGGGATGTCACTAGGGCAACAGAAGATAATGATCATGGCCTAAATAGTTTGCTGCATCCCTTCCTCCACCAGTTCAGAACCATTGCATAGCCAGAGTTCCAGTTGGTTCACAGGGAGGGAAGAATCCATGTGAGCCAGATTGAGGCCAAGTTGAGTCTACAGAATCTATCTACAGAGTATGCTCTCATTCACAACTGAAATTAACTGTTTGGCATTAGGTGCCTTTCCACCTGCTACAGCCTCTTGTAGAAGAAATAGGGTGCAAGGGCAGTATGGGTCTTGAGGTGCAATGTTCCTAGGCAAGAGAAAGCCCTCAAGCAAAGCATGGCAGTGAATGATTTGGGATCTAGAGAGTTTGAGTCCTCCTTGAATCTTTAGACTCTACAGAGGTGTGAGGCTGCACATTCTCATCTGTCCTGAATAGCACCTTGAAGAGAGACTTCAATAGAATCTTGATGAGCCTCTTGGAATTTTGGGACTCCAGAGTTCCAGAATTCTAGGACATATGAATAGGTTCCTATCCTTGCACAAGCAGTGTGTCAGAAACCTTGTTGAGACTGGAGTTTTAGCCTCCAAAGAAGCTGTACTGGTGCTAAGGTCTGCTAGAGTTGCAGTCCACCAGTGTCACACATTACTTGTTTGAAACTAGTGTATAACTTGTTTGACTGGGATGTCATGCCAGTGATTTGCATTCACTGTAGGTTTTTGCATCACTATATCAGTGACCAAAGCCCTGGTGCAGGCAGAGCCAGATTTACTCATTAGCTCTGGTGTGAAATCTGTGCAGTTGCACATGGCTGTCAAAATTGGTATAAGTAACTATTGCCTCAGGCCTTATAGCTCTTATTAATTTACTTTATACAGTTCGTCAAATCTAATGTTGAATAATAATGATTCCCTTTACTCACACTCACATTACTATTGGTAGTATATAGCAATTGTTGCAACTAAAATATGTTAACGATTGTAATTTGTGGAGGGAGGAAGCATTGGGTAATACTGGAAGTACCTGGCACTTTTGTTGTTTATAGTTAGAAAACCAACTGAACCGCTGCACGTAAAGGGAGGTTCCTGCTGTATGAGCTGGAAAACTTGAGAATAGACTTATTTGTGCTGTTGATTTGTGCACTAAATTCCTGATTGCAGTTCCAAGCTGTAGGCACTCTTTCTGTCCTCAGACTGCTTGTAACGTTCACCTTCAGCTCAAGAACTCAGCTATTACAGCACTGCTGTTTAGAAGAAATCTAAGGCTTCAAAAACAAGATGTAATAGATACCAATTAATGTTTGTCACGGTGCCTTTCTGATATTTATAGCTTCAGAGACAGACCTCCTGAATCAATAACAGTGGAAAATGCAACTTGCACAGATTGTAAATAGTTTTCACTTCTGTCTTTTGGCATGTTAGCTGATTTTTGCCAGAAATTAAGGTCCAGTCCTGCAGCCCTTACTCATGTGAGTAATCTTTATTCACACAGCTATTACCATTACCTTCACCACAGGACTTTTTACATGAGCAACAGTTGCAGGACAAGGTTCCAAATATTTAAAAGTTCTAAAAAAAATTCTCATCAGTGAATTTATGAAAAGTAACAAGGGACAAATCACTGTTTTATATACATATTTGTATGTATATCTTTGTTTAATGCAGTTAAGATATCCTAGCGCTATGCAAGTATCATCAGTAACACTTGTGTATTTATATGAAATGATTGAAAAGAATATAAACACCTAAGAGCCTTTAATGCCTTAGAGGGATTATAACTATAAACTACTTTGCAGTTAAAATCTATGAAAGCAAATATGTCCATTGCTGCTGAATGTAACTTTTAATAAAAAATGCCATTTTATATTTAGTCGTTTCCTTTTGGTCTGTTGCAGAACTATGTGCAAATGTGTGGCTGAATTAAAATAGTCTTAGAATAGATGGGGTGTTTGTGATGCATGAGTGACTAGGCCATTACAACAACCCTACCATGTATATGTATTAGTTTTTCTACATCACAGATCTTCTCCTGATGGAGAAGACTCCAAGCCAGCAAGGCAATTAAGTGCTTGCTTTAACTTGAAGAATAAGAGTAGCCCTAGTAAAATCAAAGGGCAAGATTGGTATTTAGACACTTAAAGAAGGAGAAAGGCATTCAGGTTGAGTTAAGGGCCTAATCTGCTGGGTTGGTTTGGAAAAACTCACTCACCATCTATATGTACATGTAGCACCTAAATGCCTTTGAAAATGTGGCTAAGTAGGGCAATGATTAAGCATGCTATTAAAGGGTCTGCTGGATCAGAGCCTACACTTCTGTATGGGCCTTGTTACACCTTACATGTGAGCCACACAAATATTGATTCGTGTTAGCACTAGTTTGCATTTGGAGCAGTCACACTTCAGGCCATCAGGGGCCTGGAGGACTGAAAGGTAAGAATCAAATCCCCCATTCCAGGCTTCCCCCTACCTCCCCGGTGCTCCCCTGGTTCCCCCACCTATGGGATTCCCTCCCCTCACCCCTCGAGGAAGTTTCCTTCCCCTCTCCCCTTACTTGTGGCAGCCTGTGCTGTCTGTCCCAGGGGAGCAGGCAGGGAAGAGTTAATCTTCCTGCCCAGCCACTACTGCTTCTAGTTGTTGTTTTTCTATCCCAGAGATCAGCAGCAATGGCGTTGGCTGGGTAGTCAGGTTAACCACCCTGCCTGCTCCCCAGGACAGACAGCATGGGCAACCACAAGTAAGGGGGGGAAGGGAGGGGAGGGGGAAGCAATAAGGAGGGATCTAGGGTGCTGGGGATGGACAGGATGCAGTGGGCCTGATCTGAGCAAGCACAGGCAAAGGAGTGGGGTGGGTTTACACTAAGGTGTAGCCTAGCGTGACTACACCCTAGTGTAACATGAGCTGGCTAGCATGGATCAGAAATAATCCTGCCCTGGAGTGGCATAACTTTGAGCCACTTGATAAATGAGTGCTTAAAACCACTTTAATGTGTGGACAATCCAGGAGTTAAGAGCTCCAGGACCAGCTCAAAATTACCATGTAACAAGCCTTTATCATGAAGGAAAAAGGTCACTTGAGATTTAGTTGGCACTTTCCCTGGGAACGTCAGCAGGGAGGTCACAGAAGGACTGGGCCATAAAACAGAACTACCTTCATCATTAGCTGCAGTTCTTCCAGATCATGAAGAATATTACCTCAGCCTAAAGGGAAGCTTGGCCTCAAAGTCAGTTGGAACAGAGGATGCCCAATGCTTCCCAGATCAGACCCTTAGCAAACATCATTCTCCAAGGTCATCTTTCTGGAGGTGCCTTCCATTAGCACTGAAAGCCAGTTGAAGCATGCAAAATAATATTGTATTTCCATCAGTCTTAAATATTTCCAAGAATAAATTTCTGGTTATTCATATGCAGACAAGGTTCTTTGGGTAGATGTGATATCTTTTATTAGGCC